AAAGGAAGGAAGGAAGGAAGGAAGGAAGGAAGGAAGGAAGGAAGGAAGGAGAAAGAAAGAGAATTACTGTTTAAAATATCCATTTTTCCCATCGTCCTTTATTGAAGAGACTATCCTTTCCCCCAATGCATGTTCTTGGCATCTTTGTAAAAAAATGAGTTCACCATAGATAGATGCATGGATTTATTCCTAGGTTCGCTATTCTGTCCCATAGGTCTATGTGTTTGTTTTTATGCAAGTACCATGCTGCTTTGATTACTGTAGCTCTGTAGTATAATATGAAGTCAGGCAATTTGATTCCTCTAGTTTTGTTCTTTTTGCTCAGGATGGCTTTGTGTATTCTGGGTCTCTTGTGATTCCATATAAATTTTAATAATCTTTTTCTATTTCTGTGAAGACTGTCCTCAGTAATTTGATAGGGATTGCATTAAATTTGTAGATTGCTTTAGATAGTACGAACATTTTAACAATATTGATTCTTCCAACCCATGAACATGGAATATCTTTCCATTTTTGTGTGTCTTATTCCGTTTTTTCATCAATATTTTATACTTTTCATTGTAGACATTTTTTACTTCCTAGGCATTTTATTTGTAGCTATTATAAATGAAATAACTTTTCTGGTTTCTTTTTCAGATTGTTCACTGTTAGCATATAGAAATGCTACTGATTATTGTATGTTGATTTTGTATCCTGCAATTTTATGGAATTTATTTACCAGAGCTAAGAGTGTTTTGGTAGAGTCTTTAGGTTTTTCTAAATATAAGATCATATTGTCTGCAAAGAAGGATAATTTAACTTCTTCTTTTCCCGTTTGGATGCCCTTTATTTCTTTCTCTTGTCTAATTGTTCCAGCTAGGAGTTCCAGTACTATGTCAAATAATGGTAATAGTGGGCATTCTTTTATTGTTCCCTATAGAGGAAAGGCTTTCAGTTTTTCCCCATTCAGCATGATATTAGCCACGGGTCTGTCAGATATGGCTTGTATAATGTTGAGTTATGTTGTCCTATGCCCCATTTTGTGGAAGGTTTTATCATAAAGGGATGTTGAATTTTACTGAATGCTTTTTCAGTATCAATCTAAATGATCACATAGTTTTTGCCCTTCATTCTGTTGATACGATGTGCTGCATTGATTGATTTGTGTATGTTGAATTGTCCTTGCATCTCTGGGATGAATCCTGTTTGGTTGTGATGAATGATTTTTTAGTGTATTGTTAAATTTAATTTGCTAGTCTTGTGCTGAGGATTTTTGCATCTATGTTCGTCAGAGATATTGGCTTGTAGTTTAAATTTTTTGTGTGTGTATCTTTGTTTGGTTTTGGTATCAGGATAACACTGGTTTTGTAGAATGAGTTTGAAAGTAATCCCTCTTTCTTGATTTTTAAAAATAGTTTGAATAGGGTTAGTTTTAGCCCTTCTTTAAATGTTTGGTAGGGACTGGATGTGGTGGTTCATGCCTGTAATCCCAGCACTTTGGGAACCTGAGTGGGGTGGGTCATCTGAGGTCAGGAGTTTGAGACCAGCCTGGCCAACATGGTGAAACCCCATCTCTACCAAAAATACAAAAATTAGCCGGGAGTGGTGGTGGTCACCTAAAATCCCAGCTACTCAGGAGGCTGAGACAGGAGAATTGCTTGAATCTGGGAGGTAGAGCCAAGATCGTATCACTTAGCTCCAGCCTGGGTGACAGAGCAAGACTCTGCCTCAAAAAAAAAAAAAAAAAAAAGTTTGGTAGAATACAAGAGTGAAGCCACTAGGTCTTGGGCTTTTCTTTATTGGTAGACTTTTTATTACAACTTTACTCTTATTACTTGTTATTGGTTTATTCACGTTTTGGATTTCTTCATGGTTCAATCTTGGTAGGGTTTTATGTGTCTAGGAATTTGTCCACTTCTAGGTTTACCAATTTATTGGTATATCATTGCTCATAGTAGTCTCTAATGATTCTGTGAATTTCTACAGTGTCACTGGTAATGTCTCTTTTTTAATCTTGATTTATTTGGATTGTCTTTTTTTTTCTTAGTCTTGCTAAGGTTTTGTAGATTTTGTTTATCTTTTATCTTTTCGCAAAATCAACTTTTGTTTTATCGATCTGTCGTATTTTTTTTTTTGTTTTAATTTCATTGACTTCTGCAATGATCTTTATTATTTCTTTTCTTCTTGTAATTTTGATTTTGGTTTGCTCTTGCTTTTCTAGTTCTTTAAGGTGTATCATTAGGTTGTTTGTTTGACGATTTTCTGCTTTTTTGATGTTGGTCCTTATGCTATAAACTTTCCTCTTAGTACTGCTCTTGCTGTATCCCATAGATTTTGGTATGCTATGTATTCATTTTCACTTGTTTCAAGAAATTTTAAAATTTCCTTATTGACCCACTGGTCATTCAGGAACATATTGTTTAACTTCCATGGTTGTATAGTTTCCAAAACTCCTCTTGTTATTGATTTCTAGATTTATTCCACTGTGGTCAGAGAAGATGCTTGATACAATTTCAATTTTTTAAGACTTGTTTTGTGGCCTAATTTGTGGTCTATCCTTGAGAATAATCCATGGGCTGAGGAAAGGAATGTGTATTCTGGCCAGGCGCTGTGGCTCATGCCTGTAATCCCAGCACTTTGGGAGACTGAGGCAGGTAGATTGCTTGAGCCCAGGAGTTTGAGACCAACCTAGGCAACACAGTGAGACCCCATCTCTACAAGAAATACAAAAATTAGCCACGCATGGTGAGGCATGTCTATAGTCCCTGCTACTCAGTGTTCTCTTGAGGCGGCTGGGTGTGCTGGTTTATGCCTGTAATCCCAGCATTTCAGGAGACTGAGACTGTTGGATCATTTGAGGCCAGGAGTTCGAGACCAGCCTGGCCAGCATGGTGAAACCTGACCTCTACTAAAAATACAAAAATTATGTGAGCATGGTGGTGCATGCCTGTGGTTCCAGCTACTTAGGAGGCTGAACATGAGAATCACTTGAACGCAGGATATGGAGGTTGCACTGAGCCAAGATAGTGTCACGTTACTCCAGCCTGGGTGACAGAGCCAGACCCTGTCCAGAAAAAGAAAAAAAGAAGGCTTGCACGAGCCCAAGAGATTTAGGCTGCAGTGAGCTGTGATTATGTCACTGCTCTGCAGCCTGGGTGATAGAGTGAGATCCTGTCTCAAAAAACAAACAGAAAAAAGAATGTGTATTCTGCAGCTGTTGAATGAAATGTTCTGTACATATCTATCATGTCCATTTGGTTTACAGTGCGGATAAAGTCCATTGTTTCTTTGTTGATATTCTGTCTGGATTAGATACCTGTCCAATACTGAAAGTAGAATGTTGAGGTCTCCAGCTACTATTATGTTAGGGTCTGTTTCTCTCTTTAGCTCTGTTAGTATTTGCTTTATATATCTAGGTGCTCCAGAGAATGGGTGCACATGCATTTAGAATTGTTACATTCTTTTGCTGTATTCACCCCTTCGTCACCTTAATTATTTAAAAAATAAATGTACTATGCCAGTTGGTTGTTGCTTTGTTGAAATAATGAATTGTCCAGTGATTGGTGAGGATGATTCATTTTATAATGCTCCTGGAAATACAGATAGACATTATGGCACTCAAAGTCTTCAATTCGATGGTTTCTCTTTGAGATTATCCTCTACTAAGGTGCTGGGTGTGACTAGTATTTTGAATTTCTTCATCATCGATTTATAGTTAAGAGTACATATTTAGAATTCAGACCATGATTGTAATTTCAACTCTGCTGCATACTAAAAATCTGACTTCGAGAAAATTTTTAAAAACTGCTTTAAGCCTCCATTTCATTGTGTTTAAATGAAGGAAAAGATAGCACTTTCCTTATGGGACTGCTATGAGATAATGTATGTACAGTCTTAGCATGGTTCTTGGCACATGCTAAGTGCTGTGTAAATGCCACTACGCATCATAATTTTTTCTCTTTTCAAAATATTTATCAGTCATCAACTATGTTCCAGGTAATGAACAAACCAGAAATGGCTCTGATGTCAGACAGCTTACAGTCCAGTTTTTATTATTTTGAGGGTGGTAGGTGGTTTTAGGTAGAAGGCACATTTGACTCTGCAGACGTAAAAGCCCGATTAAAAACAAATGACTGTAGGGCTGGGCGCGGTGGCTCTCACCTGTAATCCCAGCACTTCGGGAGGCCGAGGTAGGTGGATCACGAGGTCAAGAGATCAAGACCATCCTGGCCAACATAGTGAAATCCCGTCTCTACTAAAATACAAAAATTAGCTGGACATGGTGGCACGCACCTGTAGTCCCAGCTACTTGGGAGGCTGAGGCAGGAGAATTGCTTGAACCTGGGAGGCGGAGGTTGTAGCGAGCTGAGATTACACCACTGCACTCCAGCCTGGTGCCTGGCGACAGAGCAAGACTGTGTCTCAAAAAAAAAAAAAAAAAAAAAAAGACTGTAAGAACTGATCTGAAAATTCAAATAAGAAAGAGACTTGATAAATAACAACATTATTCTATGGTATTTTCAGTACTTGGAAATAAACCTAATGTGGATGTAAAGTCTTAACCTTCCAGAAAGCCTCTTATGTCAAATATCATTTTTATTGTGCAAATGAATATAGTTGACAGTGACATATGAGAAAACCAGTGTATAGAGTCACAGAGCCAGAGCCGACAATTTAAATTAACCCTCACCCTTCCCTGTGTGCTTTCTGTGTAATGGAGTGAATGTTTTTGTCTCTCCTACCCTCCAAATTTATAGTTGAAATCTTAACCCTCAATGTCATGGTATTAGGGAACTTTGCGAGGTGATTATGGTGGGGACTTTGGGAGGTGATTATGTCATGATGTAGAACCCCCATGAATGGCATTAGTGCCCGTATAAGAGGCCCTGGAGAGTCCTTTCCTTCCACCATGTCTTTCCTTCCACCATGTGAAGACACAGAGAGAAGGTGGCGTCTGTGAAAAAGCAGGCCCTCACCAGACACTAAATCTGCCGGTACCTTGGTCTTGGACTACTCAGCCTGTAGAACTGTGAGAAATAAATCTCTGTTGTTTATAAGCCACCCTGTTTGTGGTATTTTTAAATAACAGCCTGAATGGACTAAGACATCACCCCATTCTGCTGCTCACATGATATTCCAGGCATGGAAGATTTTTCCATGGCCATGTGTGTATATTTTGTTTTCTTTTTAGACTTAGAAACTTATTTATAAAAGTATGATGATCAAGTAGCATGAATGTGAAGTTCTTTGCTTCCTGGCCCTTAAAACATGCATTTTTGTACATGTTTCTTTAACTTAATTATAAAACAAAACACAGAGTGAAAAAATGAATGATAGATCCCTCACTCTCTGGGGGCTTAAAGAATCCTGTGGGGCAGAGGAGCAGCTCCCTGGGGTCTTCTCTGCCTTTGCTGGGTGTCTATTTCGTGGTGAAGGTAACTTGTGGTGACATGACAAATGTAAAGCCTGGGGCTTCCTGACTTGGCAGTTAAGGAAAGATTAACCGATAAATTCCACTTCTAGGAATTGATCTTAAAAAAATAATGATAGAGATGCAACATGATCTAGTTATAAAGATGTTCATTGCAGTGTTGTTTATAATAAAAAGTGGAGACTTCCTAAGTACCTAATAACACAAGATTAGTTAAGAAAAGAGTGGTAAGTCCATATGTTGAAAAATGTAATTGACATGGAAAGATGTTCAAGATGCAGTGACATAAAAAAGTAGACTGCTGCCGGGCGTGGTGGCTCATGCCTATAATCCCAGCACTCTGGGAGGCTGAGGCAGGTGGATCACAAGGTTAGGAGTTTGAGACCAGTCTGGCCAATATGGTGAAATCCTGTCTCTACTAAAAAATACAAAAATTAGCTGGACATGGTGGTGTGCGCCTGTAGTCCCAGCTTCTTGGGAGGCTGAGGCAGGAGAATTGCTGGAATCTGGGAGGCAGAGATTGCAGTGAGTTGAAATTACACCACTGCACTCCAGGCTGGGTGACAGGGAGAGACTTCATCTCCAAAGCAACAACAACAACAACAACAAAAAGTAGACTGCAAAACAGTAGGCACAGTAGGATCCTGTTTTGTTAAAGGGACATATGTCTGTGTTAGCTGTGTATACATAAGAAATGACTAGAAGGTATATAGAGTGGGTCCCTGTGGGTGATGAGGTTACAAGTAATTTGGATTTTCTTCTTTTTGGTTCTCTATATGCTCTGCAAATAACTAGTGGCAGTTACCACTGCTGCCTGTTAAGTGCTCATTATGTCTCCCCAAATTCACATGCTGGGGTTCAGGATATGACTATTTGGAGATAGGAATTTTAAAGAGGTAACTGAGTTCAAATAAGATCATATGGGTGGCCCTAGTCTGATATGACAGGTGTCCTTATGAAAGCAGGAAACTTGGACACAGACATATATAAAGGGAAGACCACCTGAAGACATAGAGAGGAGAGCCATCTACAAGCCAATAAGAGAGGCCTTAGAAGAAATCAACTCTGCTGACACCTCGATCCTAAGCTTCTAGCCTCTGAAACTGCGAGAAAACAAATTTTTGTTGTTTAAGCCACCTAGTCTCTAGTATTTTGTTACAGTTACCCTAACAAGCTAATGTAGTACCCAAACCCCAACAATCTTTATGCTTTCCTCCTCTTTAATGAAACTCCAACTTGGTTTAGGTGTCCACCTTCCTCCATGAGAAATAGACTCAATCTCTATCACCCATGCCAATGATGATAGGCCCCTTCCTTTGACAGATATTGACTTAAACATGTACATGTGACTCAGTTATAGGTAATCAGATATGAAAAATCTCGAGCATTACTAGGTTTTCCTAGAGCATGAGACGTACCCTAAGGCATAGTCCCTTGTTTGGTTTATATTTTTGCTGGGTATTGTCATATCTGTATAAGATGCCTTGAAGTGTGGCAGCACCTTGAGATCATGAGAGAAGCTGGCCTGATCTCATGATCAGAGGGCCACCTTGCCTTGTGGAGGATAGAAAGCAGAAAAATAGAAAGAATCTGGATTTATGATGTCTTTGAATCCGCAAATAAATCACCCCCATTGAGTCAAACACCTCCAGAATTGTTTAATGAGATAATACAGTTTCTTTATTTTTAAGTCAGTTTAAGTTTGTTTTTTCCTTGCTTGCAGCCCAAAGCATTTGAATTGGTACAATTGAAACCCAAAACAAAATACACAAGAGCAAAATACATTATATAAACATTCAGATACTTCTAGGCCTCTACCTAAAAGCATGAACTCCACATCTAACAAACTACTGCAGCATGAAATAGCCTTCTTTGGCTAAAGCATAGATCCTAGTTAAATAGGCTCTTTGGCTAAAGCATAGGTCCTTCTTTGGCTAAAGCATAGGTCCAATATTCATTCTGTTCAGAATATTGACAACCGTAGGATACACATTGGAAATGCCCCCACACTCCGGTTCCCATGTCACTGAGTTCTACTCAGTGAGTACAAGAGCCCAAGGGCTATGTTGCATAACAACTTCAGGGATTATTTAATTGGAGCAGCTGCCTCATCTCAGTCATTTAACATTTGAATGCCTGTGGAATACACAACCCAGGACCCTGTTCTGGTGGGAAGCTGTGGGACTACTAAGCATGTGAAATTAAGCCTTGCAAGACCATATATAGGTAAATAGGCTAGGTGGAGGGGTAGACACAGGATTTGCTTCCATTGGGGTTGGGGAGGAAAGGACCAGAAAGTCAGGATTGTTCCCTAGTTCCGTTTTTTTCTTTTTAAGATGGAGTTTTGCTCTGTTGCCCAGGCTGGGGTGCAGTGGTATGATAATATGTAAGAGATATGTATACTAAGATTTTACAAAATCTCCTAGGAATTCTCTTAACTACAAATAAAAGCAAATGGGCCTAGAATGAGTCCATTTACAAAACAAAAGGTGTTGGTAGTTAAACATATGTATGTATTGTGTATTATCAGTGCTACTTCCCAGGAGGGAAGTAGGAGGGGAAGGATAATGGGAACTTGCATATTTACTCTGTATTTTTAAGAGCCAGGATGTTTTATAACAATGTTTTCATGTGTTACCTGAATAAAGGCACCCCTCATTTTAGTGCACTTCGCTTTATGGAGCTTTACAAATGGAAGGTTTGTGGTAACCCTGCTTTGAGTAAGTTTGTTGGTGTCATTTTTCCAACAGCATGTACGCAATTCATGTTTCTGTGTCACACTTTGGTTGTTCTTATAATATTTCAAGCTTTTTCATTATGATTTTATCTGTTATGGTGATGTGTATTTAGCGATTTTTGATGTCACCATTGTACTTATTTTGGGGCATCATGAACTACTCCCATATAAGATGGCAAACTTAATTGGTAAAGTAAGTTTGACTGGCTGTTCTCCTATCTCTCTCCATCTTCTCTGGCCTCTCTGTTCCCTGAAATCAGGTCTACTAATAACCCCACGGTGGCCTCTGGGTGTTCAAGTGAAAGCAAGAGTCACACATCTCTTACTTCAAATCAGAAGCTAGAAATGATTAAATTTAGTGAGGCAGGCATGTCGAAAGCCAACACAGGCCAAAAGCTAGGCCTCTTGTACAAGTTATCTAGTTGTGAATGCAAAGGAAAAGTTCTTGAAGGAAATTAATAGTGTTACTCCAGTGAGCGTATGAATGATAAGAAAGTGAAACAGCCTTGTCAGTGATATGGAGAGAGTTTGAGTGGTCTGGATAGAAGATCAAACCAGCCACAACATTCCCTTAAACCAAAGCCTAATCCAGAGCAAGGCCCTAAGTCTCTTCAACTCTATGAAGGCTGAGAGAGGTAAGGAAGCTGCAGAAGAAAAGTTGGACACCGTGGAAGTTGATTTATGAGGTTTAAGAAAAGAAGCTATTTCTACAACAAGAAAGTGCAAGGTGAAAGAGCAAGTGATGAAGAAGCTGCAGCAAGTTTTCTAGAAGATCTAGCTAAGATCATTTATGAAGGTGGCTATACTAAACAATAGATTTTCAGTGTAGACAAAACAGCCTTCCATTGGAAGAAGATGTCACCTCGAACTTTCATAGCTAGAGAAGAGAAGTCAATGCCTGGCTTCAAAGCTTCAAAGGATAGGCTGACTCTCTTATTAGGGGCTAAGTCAGTTGGTGACTTTGAGTTGAAGCCAATGCTTATTTACCATTCTGAAAACCCTAGAGTCCTTAAGAATTATGCTAAATCTACTCTGCCTGTACTCTACAAATGGAAAAGCAAAGCCTGGATGAAGGCACATCTGTTTATAGCATGGTTTATTGAATATTTGAAGCCCACTCTTGAGACCTGTTGCTTAGAAAAAAACATTTCTTTCAAAATATTACCATTCGTTCACAAAGAATCTGGTTACCCATGAGCTGTGTTGAAGATATACAAAGGGATTAATGTTTTTCTGCCTGCTAACACAACATCGTTTTGCAGCCCATGGATGCAGGAGTAATTTTGACTTTCAAACCTTATTATTTGTAGAAATCTATTCCATGGCTATAAGCCTATAGCTGCCATAGATAGTGATTTCTCTGATGGATCTGGACAAAATAAATGGAAAACCTTCTGGAAAGGATTCTAGATGTCATTAAGAACATTTATGATTCATGGGAGGAGATCAAAGTAGCAACATGAACAGGAATTTGAAAGAAGTTGACTCCAGCCCTCGTGAATGACACTGAGGGGTTTAAGACTTTCATGGAGGAAGTCATTGCATATGTGGTAGAAGTAGCAAGAGAACTAGAATTGTAAGTGGAGCCTGAAGGTCTGACTGAATTGTCACAATCTTATGATAAAACTTGATTGGTTTAGGAGTTGCTTCTTATGGATGAGCAAAGAAAATGGTGTCTTGAGATGCAATCTATTCCTGGCAAAGATACTGTGAACATTGTTGCAATGACAACAAAGGATTTAGAATATTACAAAAACTTATTTGATAAAGCAACAGCAGGATTGGTGGGGATTAAATTTAATTTTGAAAGAAGGTTACTATAGGTAAAATGCTATCAAACAGTATCACATGCTACAGATAAATCTTTCATGAAAGGAAAAGTCATCAATGCAACAAAATTCATTGTTGCCTTATTTTAAGAAATTTTCAAAGCCACTCCAACTTTCAGCAACCCCCACCCTGATCTGTCGGTATCCATCAACATCGAGGCAAGACCATGCACCAGGAAAGATATTATGACTTGTTAAAGGCTCAGATGATCATTAGCAATTTTTTAGCAGTAAAATATTTTAAATTAAGGTATGTTCTTTTTTTCAGAGACAGGATCTCACTCTGTTGCCCAGGAAGGAGTGCAGTGGCATGATCATGGCTCACTGCAGCCTCAGTCTCCCAGGCTCAAGTGATGCCCCTATCTCAGCCTTCCCAGTAGCTGGGACTGCAGGTGCACAACACCGTGTCCAGCTAATTTTTAATCTCTCTCTCTCTCTCTTTTTTTTTTTTTTAAAGAAATAAGGTCTCACTGTGTTGCCCAGGCTAGTGTCAAACTCCTGGGCTCAAGTGATCCTCCCACCTTTACCTCTCAAAGTGCTGGAATTACAGGTGTGAGCCACTTTGCGGGGTCAGTACATTGTTTTATGACATAATGTTATTGCAGGCTTACTAGACTACAATATAGTGCAAATATAACTTTCATACACACTGCAAAACCGGAACTTTTGTGTAGCTCACTTTATTGTGATACTAGCTTTACTGTGGTGATCTGGAACCCAATCTGCAATATCTCAGAGGTATACGGGAAATTTTAAACAGTCGTGCAATAATAACTAAAGCTACCACTAGAGGGCTCAACAAAGCTGCCTAACATGCCCTCTAGAAGTGGTGCCAAGAGAGCTGTCCAGGTGCTGAAGTGTGTAGAAAGATTGTTCACTGGAATGACACTAGGGAATCTAGACTATGTCTTGGAGATTTCACTGCACAGTTCTGCGGCTGGAAATCAGTTGATGTTAGGTGTCAGGCAAACATACAGAACTGCTCTGAATTCTTTAATTCTTTCCAACATGAATCAAACTTAGCATGTCAGGGAAGGGTAGGCGAGTGATGGTATTTAGTTAGATATGCTTCTCACCCAAGAAAAGAAATGACACTTTGCAATCAGGAATCCTGGTGATGGTGGCAGCCCAGTCAAGGCAAAAGCTTCAGATAGCAATAGAGGCTAAGAATTTTTACCTAGTTCTCAAATGGTTGCGAAAGGACGTGGCCTAGGAAGAGAAGATAATATTTTGTTTGTTTGTTTTTAACTTTTTTTTTTTTTAAAGAGACAAGGTCTCACTCTGTCACCCAGGCTGGAGTAGAGTAGCACAATCATAGTTTACTGCAGCCTCCAACTCCTGGGCTCAAGTGATCCTCCTGCCTCAGCCTTCTGAGTGGCTAAGACTACAGGCATGCATCACTATAGTCGGCTAATTTTTAAAAATATTTTTTATAGAAATGAGGTCTCACTGCGTTGCCCAGGCTGGTCTCAAACTACTGGCCTCAGGTGATTCTCCTTATTCAGCCTCACAAAGTGCTGAGATTACAGGCAGGATCCATTGCACCTGGCCTGAGATTTTTTTGTTTTAAAGATTTATTGCCTGAATTAACTTAAAAACCCCAAACTTTAAAGTCTGCTGTCACATAGTTTGTAAATAATAGCCGTGCCTTTCATCCTTCATCTTACTATTTTATAAGAGATTATACAGTCAAATGTAAAAATATGAAATTTGTAAAAGTGAAAACTATCTACATTGCCCAAATTTGCTGAAGGATTGGGCAAATAAGTATAGATGTTTATCACTCCTGAGGGTTTTAATTGTTGTAATATTTTAGAGGGCAATTTGGCAGAATCTATCAAAACATCAATGAGTATTATTTTTTTTTTTCAGAGACAGAATCTCACTTTGTCACCCAGGCTGGAGTGCAGTGGTGCAATCACAGCTCACTGCAGCCTTGACTTCCCAGGCTCAAGCTGTCTTCCCATCTCAGCTTCATGAGCCCCTGGGACTACAACAGGCATGTGCCACCATGCCTGGCTAATTTTTGTTTCTTTTTTTGTTTTTTGTTTTGTTTTGTTTGTAGATATGGGGTCTTGCATTGTTGCCCAGGCTGGTCTCAAACTCCTGGGCTCAAGTGATCCTCTCACCTCTGCCTCCCAAAGTGTTGAGATTACAAGTATGAGCCACTGCTTCTGGCCTGGATATTCTTTTTGACCCAGCAAATCCACATTAGAAATTTAACTTAGAGAAATATTAATAAATATGTAGTATCTTTATACTGCAATTATGCAGAAATTATATTATTGATGTGGTAAAAATTGGGAACCAATCTAAATGTTATCTGTGGTAAATAGGTTAAGTTATCGTTCAGCCATTACTATGCAGTCATTAAGAACATGCTTTACATGAATAAGCAAGGAAAGATATCCACAACATTTTGTTGGATTAAAAAAAATATAGGGTAGAGAATGGTATGCATAGTATAATCTATTGAGGAAAATACATTTGTAGATCTATTCATGGAAGAAAGGCCATACACTAAAGTATTAGCAGTAGGTTTTATTTAAAGACTCACATACCAGGGGAAAGGTGAGGGCCTTTTCACTGTTTGGTATACATTTGTATCATAAAATAAACATATAGTATTTATACTTTCAAAAAGATTAAAAGGAATTGTGTAAACCAAAATATTGAGGCAGGGAATATTACTATTCCCTGTGTCTGCATCCTTTTAAATTTTTATTCTTTTTAGTTTTATATTTAACACCACGAGACAATTTGATTCTTTTTAAAAATATTTCTGTTTTCCAGCAAAGGACTTTATCAGAGTAGTTTTTAAAAGTGAGATGGGACTGTGCGTGGTGGCTCATGCATGTAATCCCAGCACTTTGGGAGGATGAGGTGGGCAGATCGACTGAGATCAGGAGTTCAAGACCAGCCTGAACAACATGGTGAAACCCCATCTCTACTAAAAATACAAAATTAGCTGGGCATGAAGGGAGGCACCTGTAATTCCAGCTACTTGGGAGGCTGAGGCAGGAGAATCGCTTGAACCCAGGAGGCAGAGTTTGCAGTGAGCTGAGATCATGCCATTGCACTTTAACCTGGGCAACAAGAGTGAAACTCCATCTCAAAAAAATAAAAAAAGTAAGATGGATATTATCCCCAAAATTTTTCATTAAGAATGAAATCATGAAAGTCTCTTGGTAGCTTAATAGATCCGTTTGCGTGTCATTTCTGCAAAAGTTGTAATAACAGATAGTTATGGATGTATAAACCACTAACAAAGGTTTTGGGTACTGATCTATTGAATCCAAGGATCTGAGAATACATAGCTTAGGTCTGTATTAACTTATAAGAGTCATCTTTAAATTGACTTATGCAAAGTTAAATTAATATTAATTATGCTCTTGATTTTAGAAAGTGTATTAGTCTGTTTTTACACTGCTGATAAAGACATACCTGAGACTGAGTAATTTATAAAGAGAGTTTTAATGGACTCACAGTTCCATGTAGCTGGGGAGGCCTCAAAAGCACGGCAGAAGGTAAAAGTCACGTCTTACATAGAGGCAGGCAAGAGAAAATGAGAACCAGGTGAAAGGGGCTTCCCCTTATAAAACCATCAGATCTCATGAAACCTATTTACTGCCACAAAAACGGTATAGGGGAAACCATCCTCCTGGTTCAATTATCTCCCACCGGGTCCCTGCCATGACACATGGGAATAATAGGAGCTACAACCTGAGATGAGATTTAGGTGGGGACACAGCCAAACTAGATTAGAAGGGGTAGTGAGGTTTTGGGAAGTGGAAAGTCTGTTTAGCATTGGAAAGATTCCTGGACCAGACACAGAAGGAATCCTTTGCAAAGATTCTAAATTAAAGGGTGAGTATTGCAACAGATTATTCATAAACATGATCTAAGGCACCAGATTTATTGATGTTTGCAAACTGTGCAATCGCTGGATAATTCCTCCAACTTGTGTCATGGGGTGGGGAGAATGAATCACCACAAAGGCCGAAATCCTGTGACAGGATTGCCTGCATGTGGTAATTATAAATTTTCTAATAAAATGTTAGTTGTCTTTTGGCACAATGTGCTCAGAATCATATTTGGCAAGTCCATCTTTTAATGTTTCTTCATCCTTACATTAATGCATTCAATAAATAGAGCATATTGTAGTGGGTGGTTTGGATGTATCCGAT